TATTTCAAGAGATGCTAATGGTGTACAATTTTTTTAAAGTAGAATTGTACAGAAATTATTTGCTAGGTGTTTTGACTTGCAATGTTTTAGTTTTTGAGTGTACCTATATTATTATTATTATTTTTTTTTATCATTAGGGATATTTGCCCAGTTTTAAAAGACTGTAATGCATTGAGAACAGTGACAGATCTCTTTACAGATCATTTGCAAAAACATTTCCCAAAGATTGATGCTATTGTTGGTAAGTGTTATGACTCTTGTTCAATTTTCATTTCTGTCTCAGTAATGTGCTTGTTTGCAGTTTGTTCCAGAAAATAGCTATACTTCCCCACAGAAGGGATTGGAATTTCCTGGGGGTAGGGGGATATGTAAGACCAAAAAATTTAAAGAAATGTGTGAAGCTTAATAGTGGAATTTCTAGAGGGGTGGGGTCTTAGAGAAAATCTCTTCCATGGGGGAGGTATGGATATTTTCTGGAACTACACAATAATTAATTATTAATAAATGATAACAGACATGGAATAATGTATAATTTACTGCCTTCAATTTTTTTTTTTTGCAAGTCTGCTCTGTATGTATTTTCTTGTACAGCAAAGAATTTTGGGAGGTGCGGTGACCTCATGGCTGGTTCACTCATCTCTGGATCGAGTGGCTTGGGTTCTAGCCCTGGCCAGGGACATTGTGTTGTGTTCTTGGGCAATACACTTTACTCTCACAGTGCCTCTCTCTACTCCAGTGTATAAATGGGTACTGGCAAACTTAATACTGGGGGTAACCCTTCAATGGACTAGCATCCCATCCAGGGGGAAGTAGAAATACTCTTAGTCGCTTCATGCTACAGAAACCGGGATAAGCCCCTGCCTGATGGGCCACTTGGCTCGTATGCAGACTTTACCTACCTTATAGCAAAGAAGTATTATGTAACAGCAGAAGAGTTAACTTATATTTTTATGACTTGCAACAGGACACCATTGCTGTAAACCACAAGAATCCTAACAAACTGCAGGCCTCGAAGCAATGGTTTATATGTAGTTGTTTATCTTTTATGTTGCAGGTCTTGATGCCAGAGGGTTTTTGTTTGGTCCTCTTGTGTCAATGAATCTGAATGTGCCCTTTCTACTAATACGCAAATCAGGAAAATTACCTGGACCAACCATCAAGGTTTCATCTACTAAGGAATATGGAAAAGTGATTATCTATTTTGAAGTTCTTTTCTCATCATTACATTTATTTATGTATGACTTGGAATTAACACTATAAAACTAGTGCAAGGTTTAAAAATAAAATTTCTTTTAAAAGGATGTCCTAGAGATTCAAGCAGATGCTATACAGAAAGGACAAAAAGTTGTTGTTATTGATGACCTTCTTGCAACTGGAGGTAAGTTAGTAGACCTTTTGTGTGTGATGTTATTATCAAACATGAGCTCGGCAGTTTCATTAATGAATTCAGCAGGAGGACAACTGGTTTTCACCAAAAAAAAAATATTCTGAACTGAACTTCTTCATGAGAAGAACCTTCCTTGAGATGGGCAGAGTGTCACTATTAGTATATCTCATATTACTTAGCAATGCACTTTTCAGTGCATAGTTAATTTTCTGAGAGGCAGGATTTTGTTTGGAAAGGTTCTCTGAATGAGGAACTAAAACTGAGTAAGTAATATACAGCCTTTCAAACACAACTGGCTCATAACTCTGCAATAAACTCTGGATCTGTAGCATGAAAGGGTTGGGAGTATTGCTACTCCCTCCTGGATGCGTTGCTAGACAGTCCATCACAGGTAACTCTCAGCATTGTCTCAGCTGTCCTAAAGGTTGGCACACAAGAGGGGACTAGTCGCTGCGACTAGTTCCTGCAACTAGTCCCGTAAAGAGTTTAGATGGAGGGACTGGTCGCAGGAAGTTGTCCCACGAACAGTTCTGAATCACACAAAGCATTTTGAGGAACAAGTTGCAGGGACTTGTACCAAAAATTCAAACCAGTTAGAATTTGTGCGACTAGTCGCAGGGACCAAATTTTAGTCCCTCAACTAGATTTTGTGGTGAAAATGGCTAGTTCACACAGTGGGACTTGTCCTTGCGACTTATTGTAGAGACCAGTCGTAGAGACTAGACACCTCTTGTGTACCAACCTTAATGATTTGCTGATATTAAATCGGTTTATGTGCCTGGGTGGTGAGATGCTCTGTGAGAGACTGAGTAAAGTGTCTTGCCCAAGAACACAACACAATGACCCCAGTCAGGGATAGAACCCAGAGTACTCAATCTGGAGTCCAGCACACTTATCATTTAAGGCCAACATATCTCCCAAAGAGGAATTAAAAATGGATCTGTTGATTAATTCTTTGA